TCATATACTTCCTACACTTGTTACGTGTTTTTCATTTCTGTTTCTACTTGTTACATGTTTTTCCATTTCTTTTTCTATGAATTAAGGTACTTCTGAAGCTATAAAAACACTAAAGAAATGTTCCATTTTATTCTCTATAATTTTGTTTTTTTTAACCAAAATACGACTTTGGAGAACAGATCTAATTCATAACTGACACATGGTGGTACTCCAATCTTATGACATTTCACCAATCCATCACTTGCAAAAGAACCCTTTTGCTTTGTTTCTGTCATAAGTGCTAGAGCTTTCTATGAGGCGCTGTCGTGTGGTAATCTTGTTAGATGACCAAACCTTCGCATTTTTTTTTTTAATTTTAAATACAGTCTGACACTGGCTCTCTTTCCACTTGCTTCCTAAAATTATTTCTGATTTTGTTTCTTCTCTACATTTAGGTAATTCATAAAATATTATGTGGAAATAGCAGAGATTTGGTTCTAAGAAGAATTATGAAAACATCACGGACAATGGTGAAAAAAAGGTAATAAAGACATCTTTAAAACAGTTAACTCACAACAGGAAAGTTGGAATGAGTTAGTGAAGTTTAACCCCTCTAGGACCACACAATGAACAACTAAAATCTGATGACACAAAGTGCCACCATTTCTGATGAGAATACTGCAAATGCAAGTCCCAAAACCTTTTCAACCGTAAGGTTACATTAGGGCCCCAACAATTACCAAGTAACCTTAAGTCCAATGGAGGTGGGATTGTAATATATAAAAAAAAATTGACTCCCATGTCAGGGAAAAAAGGAAAAAGTGACATAGGAAAACCAAGACCGACGATAATGATAAATCAGTTTGGCATCACAGCAGGGGAAAAAAATCTGTGTCAGAAATTACTGACAGTGCATGAGACAGAAGGCAGTTGACATGCATGATTACCAACCCCACCCCATATGGTGTTAACTACAAGGAGAAGATGTTGGAACCATTTCTCTTTCCAGACAATAGTGTTACACTGTGCTACAGGGCAGTAGGAAAATTCTAGTCTGCGATGATAGCAAGTTTGGTAAAAGAAAAACTGCCAATCATAAAACTGCCAATCAATACCCATTTATTCACGTACTCCATCATCAACCTAAATGCCATTTATTTTCTCCTGCATCCCTTTGATAAGTGAGTGTATTAAAGCTAACGAAAAGATCTTTTCAGTATTTATTCAATGATTCAGTGGAGTCAGCCAGAACAATAAACACTCCCCACACTTGTTCATCAGGGCACATATACTACACAGACTGAAGCTAGCAAGCACAGCCTCCTTCTGGAGGTGGGGGCTCGGCGGGGGCCTCTTTCAATTTCACTTCTGTCACTGAGGGAGGTATCAGTCAAGGAATACAAACTGTAACAAATCAGGTTTCATTAACTAAACAAGATTCCCCATCGCTAAGAACTGTTTCTTTTAAAAAATAAAATTAGGATATTTTAATTTAGTCATATTATTATGGTGATCGTGTGAGATGACAAACTATGACACCCATGTCTAACAGCTTGGCACATACATATTCCTACTCCTCCAAGACTTATATCTGAAGATTTTACACTACAGCAACTCAGACGTCAAACTAACATGAACAAACCCCAGACGTTCTGTTTAACCTTACAACTCTACAGCTACACCAAATACTTGTTACTCGTCCCCCATACTGACGTCCTAGCACACTGATCCAACCCATTTGTGCTCCAGCCTCATATGCAGCAGCCATGGTCTCCATGTTCACCAAACCCAGCAGGAGTTGACGGACGTGTCTTCTTTCACTGCCTCGGAACCGGTTTTTGCATGCTTGTTGCCATTTAATACCCATTACCAATGGGCAAGTTCATCGTTCGCTGACTCATTTGTCTAAACATCTCTGGAAAAAGTGTGTTCAGCAAATCTGCCCTGTCCATGATTCTTCCTCCACTAACTATAGCAGACACTGCCAGTCTGTTGGCGCTTTCCTTACCTTGGTGTCCTCTGGCTGTTCTTTGTGGGTGAGCGAATGAATGCATCCATGAGAGTTACTTCATCTCGTTGCTTACACTGCTTACCACAGTATATAAAGTTGGCCGCATATCCTTTATAGGATGTCACAAACCAACCCAGCATCTGCTGGCTGTTTGTGGTTTTAAATGGCAAAGTAATGTTCAATAGTTTGCCCATCCATCTGAATGGTCAGCTCTCCCTACAAATGTCAAATCACCTGCCGTAGAATTGGGCTGGGTATTTCACAATTATAAACTGTGTTCCTAACTTTTAGGCCACTTGCCCCCCACCAGAGGACAGAGGTTACAAAAGTTCCCCCCAAAAGAAGCATTAGCACATTCCAAATTTGTAAATAATGTGACTGTGGGAGCGCTTAATGTTTTCGGAGACCTACTAACTAAAGAACTGCGTAAATCAAACCAAAAAATGCCACATTAAAAAAATATTCAAAACACAAAAAACAACCAAAGTGAAGACTGAATACAGAGACTAGATCAGATCAAATATAACATCAAAACAAATATAACATCAAAACAAATATAACATCAAAACAAATATAACATCAAAACAAATATAACATCAAAACAAATATAACATCAAAACAATCACAACATATTTTAAGTGAAAAATGAGGATTTACCTGATCTGGCTGCAGTAATTAGTGACGATTGATTTGCATTTCATACATTAAAAGAAAAAAAATTAAAATGGAATAAAAACAGCTCTGAATACAGTGTACTCAACAAAAGCTGAAGCACAGATACAATATGTCTGTGCGTAAACACATTAATAACATACATGTACCAAAAACTAAGCAGATATTCACAACAACTAGAAGCCAAATATAACATTTATGTAAAATTTAAAAAAAAAACAATAAGATACACACACAAAAGATGTGCAGGAAACACACAGAATAAAGCATATTACCATCGCCAAGCACAACAGGCAACTGTAGCTGACGTGTATCATTCTTAGCTGCAGCAATGTGACCAGCCGCAATGGTGACAACCAAGCCAACCTGTATTTTTCCAAGCAGTTGTCCTGTTTTCCAGTTTCACCATGTTTATAAAAATCGGGGGGGGGGGGGGGGGGGGGGGGGGGGACACTTTAATACTTGTATGAGCGTATTCATGACCCTGGCTCACAGGTCGACACGCCCGGCCTTAAACAGTTACCAGGTAAAGTCCTGGGAAGTAGCGGTGGCCGGTGTGATGTTTACCACATCACCAAATGAGGGCTGACTGGTCTACAAAAATATGAGTCTAGTCTTTTATGCCCGATGCGCCACTGACATGTAAAAGTACCTTTGCTCACTATAAGATGTATTCACTCGTGAGCTAGCGGGATGTGTCAAGGAAGAACACGGGGGTGGCTGGGGTGGGGAGAAAGAGGGGAGGGGGTAGAAGCACTGAAACTTAAATTACAAGTCATAAGTACAAACTGTAGCTTTCGATTTCAATGTTATCCAGTGTGACCTCCTATCTCCCTGCTTCCTTCAATGGATGCCAATTAGTACATGTCAATTTATTTATCAAACTGTTTCTACAACCTTTAGGGTACCCTACCAGTGATTTATTCCAAATCTAGAAGAACACCTACTGTCGAATTTAATAATAAGTCTATAAAGGAATGACTGGAACAGTGCCTGTAGGTAAAGAACCTATTGTACAGATCTTTCTAGCCTACCTGGGGTGTACAGCTGCTTTTTTTTTGCCTAGAAGCTCAGAAAGTGTACATCCAGGGCAAAAGACGGAGCATGTTAGAGATCTATTTCAGCGAACCTTCACTGCCGACTGATTGATAACAATCCATGCTGAATTTAACTGAACAAGCCTACAGTGAACAGTCACTTCCAAGGGTTTAAAAAAAAATTTCAAAATAACAACCACAACTAAATCTATATGAGATTTAATCAAGAATGTGTGCGCCTGTGTGTGTATGCACAATATCAACTTCAGAGCTGGGAAAAGAAATAGCAATAAATCTGATCTTAAAACACTGATCACGTATAGTGATAAACCAAGTCAAACTAGGAAGTCTCTTACCTTTTCACCTTTAGCCCATAATTGTACAGGAGATAAACATCAGAATCCATGACCTACTGAGAAAACTACAGGAGATAAACATCAGAATCCATGACCTACTGAGAAAACTACAGGAGATAAACATCAGAATCCATGACCTACTGAGAAAACTACAGGAGATAAACATCAGAATCCATGACCTACTGAGAAAACTACAGGAGATAAACATCAGAATCCATGACCTACTGAGAAAACTACAGGAGATAAACATCAGAATCCATGACCTACTGAGAAAACTACAGGAGATAAACATCAGAATCCATGACCTACTGAGAAAACTACAGGAGATAAACATCAGAACCCATGACCTACTGAGAAAACTACAGGAGATAAACATCAGAATCCATGACCTACTGAGAAAACTACAGGAGATAAACATCAGAATCCATGACCTACTGAGAAAACTACAGGAGATAAACATCAGAATCCATGACCTACTGAGAAAACTACAGGAGATAAACATCAGAATCCATGACCTACTGAGAAAACTACAGGAGATAAACATCAGAATCCATGACCTACTGAGAAAACTACAGGAGATAAACATCAGAATCCATGACCTACTGAGAAAACTACAGGAGATAAACATCAGAATCCATGACCTACTGAGAAAACTACAGGAGATAAACATCAGAATCCATGACCTACTGAGAAAACTACAGGAGATAAACATCAGAATCCATGACCTACTGAGAAAACTACAGGAGATAAACATCAGAATCCATGACCTACTGAGAAAACTACAGGAGATAAACATCAGAATCCATGACCTACTGAGAAAACTACAGGAGATAAACATCAGAATCCATGACCTACTGAGAAAACTACAGGAGATAAACATCAGAATCCATGACCTACTGAGAAAACTACAGGAAAATTTGAACCAAAGTTCAGGAAAAAGGATACTTATATTTTTATCATCTTTCTGCTCCATTCCCGGCAGTGCTGCAGCTACTCTTCTAAACAGCTAAGGAGAAAACAAGGGTAAATTATTATTATTTATTTTACTGTGTTTTTTTTAAAGTAATAGGCGACGAATAATCCATAAATTTATCATTCTTTAATTTAGCATCATGTGTATAATGGTAATGTGTCTATTATTTCTTTCAAATCCTCACAGACTGTTGGGAAATAGTAGAGCTCCTAGTCTTGAATCCAGGATTTAGGCAACTAAATCCAGAAATTAAAAAATTTGAGCTCTGCTCTAAACATGTACATCACTACTAATTATCATCTTGTACCATCACAGCCTATTGGTTGGTAAACAGGAGAGCTTCTAGTCTTGAACCCATGAATCTTCTAGTCCAAAAATTAAAATATTTCAGCTCTGCTCTAAACATGTACATCACTACTAATTATCATCTTTTACCATCACAAGGTTTGAAGTTTGAACAACAGATCAACATCATGGCATAAGGGTAGTAACCCATAAGTGCTCCGTTCTTTCTTCTAACTCAAGTCTGACTCTGAAGTAGCTCAGCACAGAGCATGGGCTCCGTAGAAATCGAATGCAAGCCAAAAGGGAAGTCCAACAGCACACAAATTAAAAAGGAAGGAAGGAGGGATTTAAAGTTAGGTCAAAATGGGAGTCAAGGTCAATAATAAAACATTCAACCCGATGAGGATTCGGATCCAACGTCTTCACACTGACAGACAAGGATCTAGCCATTGCACTACAGCAGTTCCCTGGCTGCAGCCTTTATAACAATCTTACCATAAATAAAGTAGCCATTTCAATGGTAAACCACAGGCTGCAGCCTTTATAACAATCTTACCATAAATAAAGTGGCCATTTCAATGGTTAACCACAGGCACAATGAAACAACAAACTCTTTTGGGTTATTTATACGATGGTCTCCCCATTTACACACCACCGGTTGGAGGTCACCTCCACTGATAAGTTGGTTGGACTAGTCTACCGTGGTCAAGGTTAAGGGTGTCGCAGTCTGTTGTTGTCTGGCTTTACGTTTGTATTTCTGAAAAAGAGACGGCCTGTGACATAGGTTTTGTCACTCTCTAGGGGAGTTGTCTGTTAGACCCAGAATCTAAATGTTTTAGAAGTGTTAAAAGCTCTGGTATGGTGAAATATACAACAAGCAGTATCAGCGCGAGTGCAGAATATCCCCGTGACTTTGTGTGAAAGTCGGATCGCTCGAGGCTGACCTATCAGAAGTGAGGTGGTACTTCATCTAATCTCCGGTGGAAAAGTTCTGGTTGTTCATCCACTTCTGGACTCTAGTCCTGTTCCAGAAACTGAGTGTTGCGTGTACATCCATTTCACTTTTCTGAGTTATTTGCACACAGACTGTTGGTTGCTTGCCTCTCAGGCAGATGTACTTCGACGTCAAAGGAAGCTCCCAATTAGTCAACTCTTACGACACGCTTTTGGGCAGGAGGCAGTGGGTCTATGCTTGTTATCCACACAATGGGGCTATTGAATCAACACATGATAAATGAAAAAAAATGTGCTGTGATAAATAAAAATCTGATGTGATCAATGATAAGAATGTGATGTGATCAATGATAAGAATGTGACATCATAAATAAGAACGAGATGTGATCAATGATGTGATAATTTTTTTTTTAAACATGTACGTGATCAGTGACCAGAATGTGGTGTACGTTACGGCGACTAACCTGTTTCACGTTGTAGCCAGCCTTGGCACTGGTCTCTATAAACATCACATTGAGCTCTTTAGCTTTCCTTTCTCCTTCTTCTGTAGACACTTGCCTAGTGACATGGGAACAAGAAGATAAGGCCTGATTAGCACAACAAACAAATGCATCCTGGTTGTTGCATTGAGAGTGAAGGGAGAGGGTGGAGAGAGAGAGAGAGGAGAGGAAGGATAGACAGACAGATGTTGCCAAATGGCAGAGGTGGGGGAAAGAAGACATTACCAGATGTCAAAGATAGGGAAGGAAAAGAAAGACGGATATAAGAAAGGGGGGGGGGGGGTGTTGGAAACAAATGACTGACAGAAACTGAAGGCAACCAAATGTCAAAAACAGAAACTGACAGACAGACAGCTAAAGACAGGAAGGGGTGGAAGAAGGTGAGTACAGACTGAGTTCGGAATATGTAATGTAATTTAAAGAGATGGAATGTGTGAAGAGAATGTGCATAATTCAAATTTTATATTAAATTAAATACGCCCACTTTCAACACATTAAAATTAACAAAAATAATCACATAAACAATCACATCTCCTTAGCATAATAGGGCATCCCTGTCAGTGGAGGTTATTTATTGGCTTATTTGGGTGCAGACTGGTTTCCTCACCTCCAAGGCTGATGCTCCATGACTTCAGAGAACTTTGCAACATGCTTTTTTGATGGCCTGTGGGTCTATTTATTTATTTTTTTTGTCACCAAAAATGAGGCTCTAGAACTCACACAGGCTGACAAAGAATGAAAGCAGGTGTCATGGGAATGGGAGCAATTGTAAAAGGAATGATAACAATTGTTATAGGAATGAAAGCAATTGTGAAAGGAATGATAACAATTGTTATGGGAATGATAGCAACTGTGATAGGAATGATAACAATTGTTATAGGAATGATAGCAACTGTCATGGGAATGAAAAGCAACTGTCATGGGAATGAAAGCAATTGTTGTGGGAATTGAAGCCATTGTTGTGGGAATGAAAGCAATTGTTGTGGGAATTAAAGCAATTGTCATGAGAATGGAAGCAATTGTCATGGGGATGAAAGCAATTGTTGTGGGAATTGAAGCCATTGTTGTGGGAATGAACGCAATTGTCATGAGAATGAAAGCAATTGTCATGGGGATGAAAGCAATTGTCATGGGGATGAAAGCAATTGTCATGGGAATGAAAGCAATTGTCATGGGGATGAAAGCAATTGTTGTGGAAATTGAAGCCATTGTTGTATGAGTGAAAGCAACTGTCACTGGAATGAAAGCAATTGTTATGGGAGGGAAAGCAGTTGTCATGGAAATCAAAGCAATTGTCATGGGAATGAAAACAATTGTCATGGGAATGAAAGCAATTGTTGTGGGAATTGAAGTCATTGTTGTGGAAATTAAAGCAATTGTCATGGGAATGAAAGCAATTGTCAAAGCTGCCAGCATTACCTTTTGTCTGAAAGATCTGTCTTGTTGCCAACCAGCATAATAATCACATCACTTCCTCTCTCCGTCCGAACATCATCAATCCACTTTGATGTCTGGTGGAAGGAGTTTGCATCTGAAGACAGAAGAGGTAAGGATATGTAGCATTTCAAGAACATTGAAAATTTCAAACAAACAAGAAACTTCAAGAAATGAAAATTCCAGAACATGAAAACTTCAAGGACATGGGAAAAAACATGGAAAACAAATTTAGCGCATACATTTTTAGAACATGAAAGGTTGAACATTCAAGTGCATGAAATACCGCAGTTTTAAAAGAAAAGAAAAAAAAAAACAACTTCAAGAACACACACACAAACACAGAAAACTGGATATGGCCAGAGCACAGCAGTAGAAACACAATAGTTGGCAATTACTAGGCATAATGCAATGAATGGAGACAAAGCAGAGCTTTGTGCAGAGTGGCATACATTGCTTCAGAGGCCACAGGTAGACAGCATTCTTTGGATCTTTTCTCTAGGACATTATAATGTGCGAGAGAAATGAACAGGATGACACACTGGCTGGTTCTGTACCACGTGGTGATTTGATGCTAGCAAGGCAGAAGTAGCCAAGGTTCTATGTGGAAGATAGATTAGATTATCCACCACGTGGTGATTTGATGCTAGCAAGGCAGAAGTAGCCAAGGTTCTATGTGGAAGATAGATTAGATTATCCACCACATGGTGATTTGATGCTAGCGAGGCAGAAGTAGCCAAGGTTCTATGTGGAAGATAGATTAGATTATCCACCACATGGTGATTTGATGCTAGCAAGGCAGAAGTAGCCAAGGTTCTATGTGGAAGATAGATTAGATTATCCACCACGTGGTGATTTGATGCTAGCAAGGCAGAAGTAGCCAAGGTTCTATGTGGAAGAAAGAATAGATTATCCACCACATGGTGATCTGATGCTAGCAAGGCAGAAGTAGCCAATGCTCTATGTGGAAGAAAGATTAAATTATCCACCACGTGGTGATTTGATGCTAGCAAGGCAGAAGTAGCCAAGGTTCGGTTTGAAAGAAAGAATAGATTATCATGCTCTAGAGAGAATGACCGAAAGAAAGTGTGACTAGAGGATCAAATAGGCACCCACAACTCTTAAACATCTAAGCAGACTGCAAATAATACTACTGGTACTGAAATATTGTGTTGGCTGCTAAATATGGGGGACACAGCGTTCCTAGGAATGCCTGAATGTCAGTCTTTACACGATTAACACAGGACAATTGGAACTCAAAGGATGCATTCCCCACATGGATCTCAAATGTCCACCATATAAACATATTGAAAGCTCAAAGCACTAGAGTCCTTCTTACAAGACTACTAAGATGTTTGGTTTAACAGAAAATGAAAGATCCCCCCCCCCCCCCGTGTGGGTTCCTGGGCCCCATTGTGGGGAAAACAAGAATAGACCCACTGCCTCCCCAAAAACATGTCGTAAGAGTCGACTAATTGGGGATCTTCCTTTGAAGTCAGAGTGCATCTGCCGGAGAGGCAAGGAACCAACAGTCTGTATTCAAGAGAACGAGATCTGTAAAACTGATGCACACGCAACACTCAGGTTCTGGAGCAGGACTGCAGTTCAGTAGTGGATGAGCAACCAGAACTTTCCACAAAAGTGTACAGCTGGTGAACGCGAAGAAGAAGAAGATGTCATCCAAGCAAAGTAATAGTAAAGGACCCTTTTCCAACCAGTAAAAGGACTCGTTTCCACCCCTTCAGACATAATGGGCATATAGGGTTAGTCCCATATTTTATAGACCAGTCAGCACTCTGTGGGTGATGTGGTCACTAATCATCATGCCGGCCACCTTTACTTCCCAAGACTTTACCTGGTCCCCATTTGAGGCTGGTTCGACCTGTGAGCCAATGTCATGTTTGAAAAAGTTTCTGGCTGCACGACCTTCGGATCGGTTGAGGAGTGTCTAGCTGCTATATAATGGCGGCTCCACGGTGCAAGTAAAGACATACAGTTAAATGACCAGCAAAACAATCCGGTCCAAAACAGGCAGCAGTAGGAAACTTGAGCTTCCATTTACTCAATCAATCAGGTGCCATCTCCATAATGAAAGGTTGCCTACAATGGATCAACACACTCTGTCTCTTGTCTTGCTAGTACACTTTTTCAGGTTGCTATTAGTCAATCTCTCGATGCTCTCCTCCATATTGTATTGTTGCCTATCTCTTGACTTAGACTTTTTCCGCTGCTTTAATTTTTTTTTCATGCAGTTGAAATATGTTAACTGTCTGGACGTTTTTTTTTTTTTTAAATTCTTTTCAGCAACTATTTTTTTCAGTCCCAAACTTTTTGTAATTTCTGTTTTTAACTGTTTTTTGTTTCCATAAAGTACGACATTTATTCTGTATATCCACCTCTCAAGAGACTCATTTTAAATTGTTTAATGCTTGTTCATTGTCCAGGTTTCTCCAACACACAGCATAGTTAAGTATACAAAATATTTGTCAATACTTATTTTCAATGTGTTTATCTCTTTAGCTGTAAAGTTTCCATTGCAGCACATTTAAACAGCTGAGTTGATATTTAAAAAAATTAAGATTTTAAAAAGTCTTACTTGTGATGTCATACACAACAACTGCAACAGATGAATCTCGGATATAGCTGGGAATCAAACTTCTGAATCTCTCCTGCCCAGCAGTGTCCCACAACTGAAGTCGTATCTGAAAGGATGCAAATCAAGGTGATAACTGAGTTTTTGTCAATTACGTTTATTTACCAATGCTATTTAATCTAACAGATACCTATGGCTGGCCTTCACACGTCATCTACACTTCTTACACCGGAACACATACTGCAGAGCTGCGCTCTACAGCAAAACCTGCAAGAAGACAAGAGGCATCCAGGACAAATTTTGAGGAACGCTTGGAGACTGGCTGCTGACCTAATGGTTTATGTGTATGTTTATTCAACGGATCAACATCATGTCACATGGGTGCAACCCATGAGCTCTGTTTTACTTCTAACTCAAGCCTGAGTCTGAAGAATCTCAGCGCAGTGCACAAACTCCAGTGCACCGGAGAGGATCCTGAAATACTTTTGGTAGATTTTTAACTCAAAACTTTGCCCGGGCAGCGCCGTTAGGCTATTCTTTTCTATTTTCAACTACCAAGGTATTTTTTTACGTGTGCAACAATTCACAGGGGGAGTCAGATCTTACTACCCGGAGACCAGGGGAAATTACTAGAAGTCCACGGGGGGAAAAAATCCCAACGTTCACCGAAGCTTGAACCCGTGATATCCATCACTGAAGGAGAACACCATAACTCAAGACAACTCAGACGCAACACTTGATAACCTGAGCTTATGAAACTAATTGCAAAGAAGAAGAAGCAACATGATCTGCTAACAGAAGACACTGTTCTCATGGCTTTCAGATATGCGTTAGTTAGTTAGTTAGGTTATCATCATTGCACTCATGACATGTCCATAGGTGCTCAGATCCTCCCCTCAGTATGAACCCCAACATCCGATGGCTAATAGTACCAGTTCTATGTTGATTAAACAAGTCTTCTGGTGCGTTGGTGTGCGTCTCGTTTTTTGCTATGCCGATCCTAATTCTCAAGTCTGCCATTCTGGCGAGTGATGTGGATTCACTGCTCTCAAAGTCCTCTATCCTTCCCATTTCTCTTAGGGCATTAATAATATCAGCATGATCCATAGGCTGACCGTCGGTAGTGATAGCGGATACAGCCAACCTATCAGCTCTTTCATTTCCATCGACAATTCTAACATGTCTCTCCACAAATGCAAAAGTTTCAGAACTACTTTGCACACCACACTCACTTACAAGCTTGGAGAGAGAAAGAAAAATCTGTAACCATGTCTATGGATGTAGTACTTTGGTATCAGACCAGGAGAAAACAAAATGACTTAAATCAAGGTCATTATCATTAACTAAACATCTGCTAAATAGGTCACCATACAAGTCAGCAAAGGTTTTTCAGCTTCCCGGTGTGAAGACCATTAAAACAGTATGACACACACAAAAAAAGAATGACCAAAAAAACAGTATGACAAACAAATTGTAATATACTGTGTCCCCCATCTCTTATTCTTAATTCTGCAATAAAAACTAGCAATCTGCATATTTCAATCTGTTGATCAACCATCTAGAACATGGAAAACAAAGACCAATGAAGCTATATGCATTTATGAAAACATAACAACACAATATCTACAAACAAAGACCAATGAAGCTATATGCATTTATGAAAACATAACAACACAATATCTACAAACAAAGACCAATGAAGCTATATGCATTTATGAAAACATAACAACACAATATCTACAAACAAAGACCAATGAAGCTATATGCATTTATGAAAACATAACAACACAATATCTACAAACAAAGACCAATGAAGCTATATGCATTTATGAAAACATAACAACACAATATCTACAAACAAAGACCAATGAAGCTATATGCATTTATGAAAACATAACAACACAATACCTACAAACAAAGACCAATGAAGCTATATGCATTTATGAAAACATAACAACACAATATCTACAAACAAAGACCAATGAGGCTATATGCATTTATGAAAACATAACAACACAATACCTACAAACAAAGACCAATGAAGCTATATGCATTTATGAAAACATAACACAATATCTACAAACAAAGACCAATGAAGCTATATGCATTTATGAAAACATAACAACACAATATCTACAAACAAAGACCAATGAAGCTATATGCATTTATGAAAACATAACAACACAATATCTACAAACAAAGACCAATGAAGCTATATGCATTTATGAAAAACATAACAACACAATATCTACAAACAAAGACCAATGAAGCTATATGCATTTATGAAAACATAACAAACACAATATCTACAAACAAAGACCAATGAAGCTATATGCATTTATGAAAACATAACAAACACAATATCTACAAACAAAGACCAATGAAGCTATATGCATTTATGAAAACATAACAACACAATATCTACAAACAAAGACCAATGAAGCTATATGCATTTATGAAAACATAACAACACAATATCTACAAACAAAGACCAATGAAGCTATATGCATTTATGAAAACATAACAACACAATATCTACAAACAAAGACCAATGAAGCTATATGCATTTTTGAAAACATAACAACACAATATCTACAATGTACATACATGTTGTAACAATCTCAGGTAAATTACTGGTTCTGCAATATAGACAGACAAAATCACAACATAATAATTCAACAGACAGACAAAATCACAACATAATAATAATTCAACAGACAGACAAAATCACAACATAATAATTCAACAGACAGACAAAATCACAACATTTTAATTAAAAATACTGAATACAAATGAAATATCATCATCATGGGCCGTGCGGGTAAGTCTAGACTGTCATGTTTCGCCATCTCACATGATCACCAGAATCAAGGATCAGTTCAATGTTTTTGTATTATATAAAAAATAAAATGCTTGCCTCATACACTGTATAACCGTAGCATTTAGAGATAATATGTTCAAATATTTCTCTACTCATAATGTGATAAAAAAATATCTTGTCTTTTTCTGATATTTGTTTTATCTGGCTAGACAATCCAGGTATTTATTTCATTGTTTTTTCACTTGCTCTCTTTCCATCAATTTTACCAGCTGCTACCAAGTTCTCAAGTCTGTTCCTTCTCATATGTCAAAACCAAAAAAACTGTCTGTCTAATTGTTGGAAAAAGTTGTACGATTTGCATCTGTCTCGATGAGGACCACTTTTTTTGTTTTTCTATCCTTCCATGATGGAGAAATATCAGCCAACAGCTAAAATCAATGTATGATGGAAATGAAAATATACATTCAAATGCGTGAAACAGAATAGAAATAGAAATAAATATTGACAATTGATAACAAGTGGGTTATACAAGTGATTACTCTAGATAAAGCGGCCAAGGATCACTCACCGTTCGGTCCTCAAGGTACATTGTCTTTGATAGAAAATCAATCCCAATAGTGGCCTGTACACAAAATAAAAAACAGACTAGTTAACTAAACAGTCAAATAATGGGAAGATAGTTCCACAGCAGAAACTGGTATGTGGACTGTTACGCCTTTACATATACTGGGTCATAACAAAATATGGTTTCACTGAAACTATCAGCAGTTTTCCTTCTGTAAGAATAAGAAGAAACTCAACAGGGGAGCATGTACAGCAGGAGTCTACCAATCATCAGTAGAAGCAATCCCTCATCTGCAATTGTTTCGGCCCACAAGCTCCTAGACAATTTCAGAGAGAGGGCCCATCTGAGTTCATGAAGCTCAAGGTTGATCTGCTCCTGCTGCACGTATTACCGGATGTTCTCGGACAGGGACAAGACAAAATTGGTGACTGTGCAAAAGGTACTGTGAGATTCGAAGTTTATTTACATAGTCGCTGCGGTAGCATAATTAGAGCAGTCAGAATACCGGGACGACCAAGTGGCAAGCTTACACTTGGTTTATCGGACACATGTTAGACTTTGTTGGCAAATGGCAGAGGGACACTGACAGACAATTCGGACAAGATGGACTTTGAGGGATAAGACTTTCTTTTCCACTAGAAACCCGGACCAGCCCAACAAGATCCGTGCTCCACGACGTTGTGTTCAGAGCCAGCTCGAGTCCCTTACTGCAGCCTCGCCGAATTGTACACGTGAAAGTATGCGCATACATCTACCACCAGTGCTTTTGCATTTTTGGTTGATTTTCATAATATGCATATTATTATATAAACATAAGATGCTTTATTGATAAAATACAACTGCTGTTTGAAAGATGGGTGTTTAGAAAGGCTGAATGTGGGACTGGACTGCATGCCTAATTTGTGACATTTTGAAAATAAAGTTTTATCTATCTGTCTATCTATCCATCTAATTTATTAATGTATGTATGTGTGTCTGTATGCATCTGCCTGCGTATGCGTTTCTGTCTGTGTGTATGTCTCCATGTGTGTATCTGTCTGTGGATGTGTATGTCACTCTGTTGATGTGTATGTATCTGTGTGTGTGTGTGTGTGTGCTGGCATGTATATATCTGTCTGTGTGTGCTTGTCTGTGTGTCTGCATGTTTGCGTCTGTGTGTCTGCATGTATGTGTTTGTATGCAAGGATGCCTGTTATGTGTATGTATGCAAGGATGTCTGTATGTATGTGAGTGAGTGAATTGGGTGGGTATGTGAATGTGGGGGTGTGTGTGCGCACATGTGTGCCCATGAATTTTACCACCCAAGCTTTTGTGTTTTTCTTTGTATTCATAATATTCATACTATTATATGATGATAACAAGCATTTTCGATAGAATAAACTGCTGTGTGAAAGGTGGGAGTTTGGAAGGGCCGAATGTAAGACAGGCCTGCGTGCCCAATTTGTAACTCTTTGAAAATAAAGTTTGTTCATTCCTGCATAGTGCTACTGGCCGGCATCACACCTTTTCCCTAGATGTCCTTGCAGTCTAAATACTGCTGCAGAATTACAGTCATAACTTGACTCTCGCAAATATCTTATGTCTTGTAGAGAATATATCAGCCTGACCCACTGCTCATTGGCTTTCTACAGTAGCTTCACCTGCAAGCCAATCAGCTTGCTCATGTCCTCTCTAGTTCTGCGTGCCTTAGTTAAAAAAATGGAATTGATCTTTGTAAGCCATAGTCACTTCAGAGACACCAAATACTGTCTTCGAGCCCAGCCCATCTCTTGACTTGACTTGCTTTGAGGAGAAAAAAAAATTTAAAAATAACAAATCACCATGTTCAACCAGCATCCCCAAAAGGGGGAGCTTTTGGTTATAATTGTGACTAGGTTTATGTGGGCCATATACAATAGCTTAGCACTGCTTGCCACCACGTAGCACTGAAAAGGACTCTTGCAGTGTTTTTGCAATTACAAGAGACAGAACCAAATACTGTCCAAACCGATGACGAAGTCGTCTACTGGCCAGCGAATGGGCGACCTGTTCGCCGATTTGTAGCCCATCTCTATCTTCTTGAGCAGACTCACAGAGACAGTGAGAAATCATGTGAAGGTCTGTCTACAGTTATGTTATTGCTTTAGTTACTGCCTCAAGGTAAGCAAATAACTGTAAACTTCGGTGAAACGTTCTGGCTGTTCGTAATTTGACTGGATCTGCACCACTGGGTGGTGAATTGATATATGACAAGGCAGATGTGGTCAAGGCCCTTTGGGAACACGTAATGAAGTCAGAAGACAAACTAGATTATTATGGGCTGGAGAGAATGATACACCTGGGTGTGACCAGAGGGTTCAGCCCGCTCAGTAAGCTCAGGAAAAAGGCAAGACAGATATACAACCAGACTACACCGGAACTATTAGTATTAGAACTCTGCACTGGTTGTTAAGGATGGGGACAGAGAGTGTATGGGAATGCCCCAAGTGCTTGATGTCAATTCTTGACTCAACTCAACAATTCAGATTTGTCTTCTTCTTCTTCACTTCCTCTTTTCCCGCTGTGGGTGTCGAGGGAGATATAAGGTTCTGTTTCTAGCTCTTCTGGCTGCCTCGACCATAGGCACATCGTGCTGTTGTAGAGTTTCTCTGATGTTATCCTTCCATCTTGTTCTTGGTCTACCCCGTGCTCTACGTCCTTCTTCTCTTCCCATGTATGCTTTGTATGGTATGGTGTCACAAGGCATTCTCTCTAAGTGGGCAAACCATTTCACTTGCTGTCTTTGTATGTAATCCAGAATTGGTTCTGTGCCGACTTGTTCTCTTATGATCTCATTTCTGATGTTATCTCTTATGGTCACTCCTACAGCCCTTCTCAGACATCTCATTTCCGTGGTTAGTAATTTTCTTTTTTCAGATTTGTCTACTGCCACTAAAGAGATGATCTGAGTTTTCCCTTCAATTTGTTTGCTTGTGCACAGGCTTTTGAAGTTTAATGTCTATGATACTAAAAAAAAAATACATATGTATATACGTAAACATGTCAGGATGGCAGATGAAGGCTTCTTACCTGATATGTGTTGTCAAAACTGTCATACATAAACCGAGTAATTAGGGATGTTTTTCCAACTGAAACAAAACATTTATAAATGATGTAATTGCAATGTCTGGTTACAGGTAAATTCTAAATTATAACAAACACTTGCATTGTAGTATTCTTTTTTCTTCAGTTGTAAAATCGGGAGGAAAGTTCTGGTTGTTCTTCAACATCTGGACTTTAATCTGGTTCCAGAAATTAGGTCGTGTGCACATCTGCTTCACACATCTGGCTTATTTGTATGCAGGCTGTTGGTTCCTCGCCTCTCAGGCAGATGCACTCAGACTTCACAGGAAAGACCCCTAATTAGTTGACTTGTATGACATGATAGGGTGGCAATGAGTCCATTCCCCCCCCCCTTACTTTTTTAACCAAATGAGGCATCTGGAACCCCACAGGACACAGCAATATTTTGTGTTAAGCCTTCATAGTCACTTTAAAACCTGACTAAAAGAGTCACTGGTTATGAACTTTAAAACCTGACTAAAAGAGTTACTGGTTATGAGTTTCAAAACCTGACTAAAACAGTCACTGGCTATGAATTTTGAAACTTGACTAAAACAGTCACTGTTTGTGAATTTTAAAACCTGACTAAAACAGTCACTGGTTATGAGTTTTAAAACCTGACTAAAACAGTCACTGGTTATGAATTCTGAAACTTGACTAAAACAATCACTGGTTATGAATTTTAAAACCTGACTAAAACAGTCACTGGTTATGAGTTTTAAAACCTGACTAAAACAGTCACTGGTTATGAACTTTAAAACTTAATACCTGCCAGTTTGAGGAAACAAAAAATTAAATATCAATAGTGTGAGATACAAAAAAATCAAAACACAATGTTGCAACTATTGACGTCTGCTAAATTATTACCATTTAAACAGAACTGCTGACATAGCCGTGGCACTCTAAGAAAATCCACATTTTGTGTATTTATAAACTGACTGAAGCTCAAGGTATTGCTATATTTATCTCCTACACACATTTGTACTAACCTCTGTTATCTTGAACATCTAATGCTAACAATGTTGGCCCTGCTATTAGTGAACAAATAATTTCCTCTACTATTCTCCAGAGAATAACATATTCATTTTACATTTTTTTCCGTTAGAGTATTTTTGTCTTCTTTGTACATCCTCAGATAACTTAAATACATTTAAAATCAAGTGAGCTAGTGCCATTCCCCTGACATCTGTGGCAGAATAATGTAAAAGTAAAGTAAAGGACCCTTTTCCACGCCTTTAGGCGTATAGGGCATATAGGGCTAGATCTATATTTTTATAGACCAATCGGCACAAGATGGGTGATGTGGTCAGCATCTCGCCAGCCGCCTTTGCTTTCCCGGGACTGCACCCGGTACCCACTCAAGGCTGGGTCGACCTGGGAACCAAGGTCATTTTTGAAAAAAGTCAGGCTCCGCCAGGGAGTGAACCCACGACCTTCTGATTCGCAATGAGCGTCTAGCCGCTCGGCCAAGGCGACTCCCGGCAGAATAATGTACCACACTTCAAAGCTGTGACTTATAGTAACAGAGCAATGTCACAACCCTTACATCTATGGTAGAGTAGTGTTGTACCCCTCACTGCTGTGGTAAAGTAGTGTTGTACCCCTCACAGCTGTGATAGAGTAGTGTACCATCCCTCACAGCTGTGGTAGAGTAGTGAAATACCCCTCACAGCTGTGGTAGAGTAGTGTCACACCCCTTACAGCTGTAGCAGAGTAGTGTCACACCCCTCACAGTTGTGGTAGAGTAGTGTACCATCCCTCACAGCTGTGGTAGAGTAGTGTAACACCCCTCACAGCTGTGGTAGAGTAGCGTAACCCCACTCACAGCTGTAGTAGAGAAGTTTAACACCCCTCACAGCTGTGGTAGAGTAGTATAACACCACTCACAGCTGTAGTAGAGTAGTATCACACTACACACTGTAAAGTAGTGTCGCACAGCTGTGGTAAAGTAGTATCACACCCCTAATAGCTGTGGTAGAGTAGTGTTGCACCCCTCACAGCTGCGACAGAGTAGTATCACACTACACACAGCTGTGGTAAAGTAGTGTCACACTCCTCACAGCTGTTGTAGAGTAGTGAAGCCTGTCTGCTAGATCACTTCTGAGAGTGTCTTATAATCAGGTCTTATATTCTTGGGCAATAGGTGCCGGTACTCACCACAATGTGTCTATTACAGAAACATTGAAAACTATGATACCTAAACAAAGGTACCTGCACTGCGTAGTGTTGCAAACCATCATGGAAAAAAACCTGGTTATAACATGTCTCGTGTCTAAGCCAAGGAACCACCAAGGTCAAGCAGCTAGATGCTCAGCTGTAGATCAGACAGTCATAGGTTCGGTTTCTGACAAGGACCGGATTTTTTTTTTTTAATGACCCTGGCTCCTAGAATTACCCAGCTCTAGTGGTATCAGGTACAGTCCTGGGAAGTAAAGGCGGCTGGCATGAAGCTGACCACATCACCCACCAAGTGCCGATTGGTCTATAAAATATAGGTCTAGCCCAATATAGCCTGAGGGGCGTAGAAAGGTGACCTTTACTTTACTCATCTTTAAGGCAGGAAAATTGTTTATGTTGCGTCACTAATTAGAATGTCAATGATTTCAATCAACCAGCTGCCATTCCCACAGTCAATCTTGGCTGTAACACTGTCTAATGTGGTGTCTGTGTGTGCTGTGTTTGTGTGGGTGTTATGACTGTGTGAGTGTTGTATGTGGTGAGCGCTGTCTTCCTCTTCTTCGCATTCACCGGCTGTAAGCTCTGGCGGGAAGTTCTGGTTGTTTGTCCACTTCTGGACTCTAGCCCTGTTCCAAAACCTAACTTTTGCGTGTATATCCATTTTACTGACTTATTTGTGTGCAGTCGGTTGTTCCTTGCCACTTGAGCAGATAGGCCTATGCTCCGACTTTGAAGGAAGCTCCCAATTAGTCAACTTTTACAACATGCTTTCGGACTGGCAGTGGGGTTTACTGTTGTTTTCCCCACAACTGGGCCCCGGAACCCGCACGGGGATGTGAGTGTCGTGTCTGTGTATGTTTGCGTGTGTACTGTGTCTGTGAGTTTGTGTTTACCTGTGAGTGTGTGGTATGTCTTTGTGCATGTTTTGTGTGTCTTCGTGTGTGTGCATGCGGGTGAGTGTTGCATCTGTGAATGTGTGTTTATCTATGTCTGTGTGTAAGTTTTTGTGTCTGTGAGTATGCGTTATGTTTGTGAGTGTGTGCATGTGTCTGTATGTTGAATCTGTGAGAGTTGTCCCCAAGGTATACATGTGTCATCAATACTTTTATTTTTTTTTTACATTTATACTATGAATTTTGACATATGAATATGCTTGATATATAAAAAACATGTGCCACATAAAATATGAATGCCTTGGAAGGCTGAATGTAAGATGGCCCGAGTGCCCAGTCAGTAACCCTTTGAAAATAAAGTTTGTTCCTTCATTTGTTCATTCAGTTTTTTATGAGGTTTGTACATTCTCTGAGAATAATGCTCATCCGTCTCATTATTTTGTCTTCTCAACTTTATTATTGTCTACCTCTTGCTAATCTGATTTAACCTTTCTTTCCAGTGTGGTTAAGTCGTTTAATGCGGCTGTAATTTTTAATATCAGTTTTTTTAAATACCCTCATTCCGTTTAAAATCTTCCTTGTGTGGATGTTGAATGTTGAATTAAAAATTGATATCACAGCACTTGGGACCCCTCCCATAAAAGCTCCATCTCTATCATCAGCAGCAAATAAACTGTTCCAATTCCGATGGCACCAGTAACTGTCTGATTAAATATCCATCTCACCCTTCCATTAAGTGTTCAGCATTGGCCAGGTCCCCTGGCAACTCCTCCTGGAGTTACCATGTGTAGATTCTGGGGTCAATTTTGGAATAGTCCCCCCCCCCCCCCCAAGAATGTTGTGAAACAAGAACAAATTCTAGAAGGGAATAAACAATCACAACTTCCTGCCAGAGGTTATAGCCGGGGAATGTAAAGGAAAAAAAGATTTACAATCAATAAACTCCCTATTTTTAATGTTTCTGCTTTTGCCATTCTTCTCTATATCGCGTCCATTAAATCTGCTTTTAATTATAAAATAAATTTATTGAATTTACTAACCCACCCCCACCCCTACTCCCCAAGTTCTCTTTATAATGATACCATGCATTTGATGCAATTCCCTTATGCCCGATGTGCCTAAGGCATGAAAATGGATCTTTACTTTTACTTACTATATGATGTGATTGTGTTCTAATGTGCCTTTTAGAATCATTAAAATTAGCACTGGCATCCTAAAGACTATGAAAAATTAATCTCTTGTTAACAACAGTGAAAAAGAAGTAAAGTGCAAGGATGTGCCATGTGGACATGTAAAAGTAATAAGATCTACTGGTCTTTCCAAATATGTACTACATGAATCAGTACAAAAAAAAGGTAGATGAGACAGGATTTAAAAAAAAAAAAAAAGACAGAATCAAAAGGTGGGCTCTCCTGTCAACTACGGCCGGTAGACAACAGTAGACGGCCGGTTAGTCAGAGTTCTGTCCCCTGGCTGCAGTGCAATTACGGACTGGAGAAGGCACGAATCAGAACACACAGTGTGGTCGACATGCCTTGCAGACCCTGCGCTGCGACTCAAATTAGCTACCGCATTCAATTACCGCTTCTGGCGACGCATTACGGAGTGGAATAGAGGGAACGACACAAATGACATAATAACTGTGTGTTGGCAATAGACAGCGTGCAGTGCCCTACTGTCATCATACGGTGAGGGTTTGGGTTAGGGGTAGGATTTGGGTTAGGTTTAGGGTTAGGGTTTGGGTTGCTACTATGAGTTTGTGCAAAGACGAGATGCGGCGACACTAATCATAACCCTAACCTAACCCACACCCTACCCCTAGCCCAAACCCTAACCCAAACCGTATGATTATAGCAGGGCAGTGCACGCTGTCTATTGCCAACACACAGTAATTATGTCATTTGTTTCGTTCCCTCCTTTCCACTCCGTAACTGCACTGCAGCAAGGGGACAGAACTCCGACTAACCGGCCGTCTACTGTTGTCTACTGGCCGTAGTTGACAGGAGAGCCAAAGGTGGATGCCTGCATGGGCTTCCGAGATCAAGTGTATGGCATATCTGATTGCAAGCAAAGGAAGGGTCTGATCAGTATTAGTGAAAAGTAACAACTCTGTGAGTGACATAACAACAACACAGAACACTGTTACCAGAAATCAAAGGGCCTGGTCTGAACAGTCAACAACAATGACAACTCAGTGACGTAACCAGTACACAGCTTTGTAAGTAACACATGAAAAGACCTGATCAGTCAACAATAACGACTCGGTGAAATAACAATACCTTACTGTTATCAATAAGTACACCGTGTTTGCCAGAAATAGAAGGGTCCGGTCAGTCAACAATAACAAACAAACAATGATACAAAGTCAACTCGGTGATATAATTACAAAATATAACAAAACATAAGACTCATAAGTGCTTCATTTCATTTCCCAGTTTACACACTTTGTACGTAAGTGAAAGTTAAGTAGCTGTCTGATTATTAAGAAGTAAATTATTAACTAAATATGGTATCTTTAATAGACCAGGCAAACTGATGTTAAAAAAGAGCATCAATCATTTTTATCCGTTATTAGGTGAACAAATACAAATGTCGAAATGACACTCGGAAACTAACACTAACAAGGCTGAGTCAGTACCCTGTCATCAGTAAAAGTACTGTACACAGTAACACACCTACTTTAACTAGTTAGCTACATTAACTTACCACTTTGTTCGCCAAGAAACACAAGTTTAAACTTCCTCAGGGGGTTACCGAATTCGCCTGTTGCACTCATTGTGAAGAAATTGACGTGTTCCTCTGTTTCCAGACCGTAGGCTGGGTCTCAGCCGCTGATAATGGTGTTTTTATTCACCTGTTGATGAATAATAAATTCCTGACCAGTCTGGCAGGAAGTGCTACGGTCGCCACGTTTGTAGCCTCGAATCGGATACAGTATCGAGCATGCGTACAACGTCGTCTTTCTGGGGCCTTTAACTCCTCATTACTGTCCAGACAGTTGTGATATTACCCCTTTCGATACCAGTCTTATAAATGCTCTCCGCCTTCTCCAGATTAATCATGTATGTTATGTATGATATGTGTATGTTTCACAGCAGTATTTTCATGTGCTAAACTTAAAGAAGTACACATGTCACCCCCCCCCCGCCCCGATATAAGTGACTCCTTGGGTATGAAAGCACATGAGGCGAGAGACCGAGTTTCTTTCTAGCAGACCGTGATGAGAGCGACGTTCTGCAAAGGACCTGCTACATGATGATGATGAATTTGAAAATGCTTGCACATTTTGAATGTTAAGAGCTAATTTTGAGACAGGAATACATGTATAACACCTTTGCTAATTCACTTACTGGTGTATCATCAGAAGGCATTCTCTCCAAATGGGCAAACGATTTGATTTGCTGTATTTGTTAGAATTGGTTCTGTGCCGACTTAATCTCGTATGACCTCATTCGTGATTTTATCTCTTCTGGTCACTCCTACAGTCTTTATCAGACTCCTCATTGCCATAATATATCAAAGAAAAAAAAACATCTGATAAGATCAGAAACAGGTGTAATAAAGCTAACTAGCTTACGTCACAAATGGCAACAATACTGAGAAACTATTATGTATCAGCAAATACCTCCCCGTGCGGGTTCAGGGGCCCTTTGAAAGGGAAACGGCGGGAGGGGGGCAAGAATAGACCCCCTGCCTTTACAACAAGCATGTCGTAAAAGTCGACTAACTGGGGGCTTTTCTTCGAAGCTGTACAAAGTGGCTATCGACAGAGACCGACTATAAAAAACGTTACCCAGAGTGAAAAGCAGAGACTTTGGCAACACATAAATACGAAGTATACAAACTAACCCCTTTTGCGCAGAATATATTAATTTGATGTGCTTTTCTTAATGGTACATAATTTTTTTTTTTTTACATCGGTGAAATGAAACAGCATTGGGGCTTTTCTTGCAGCCCAAACTAGAAAATACATTAACAAAACTCTTTTTGTGCTTTATGCAATCGTTGGTCCCATTCTAATTCTGTAGGTTTCATCAGGCTCGGGTACGGGTGCCCTAGTTATAACTTCTTTTGAGGTTGCGCCGGGTATCAAGGCTTATCTCTGCTGGTTTGTGTGTGTGTGGTTCAGTTGGGTATCAAGGCTTGTCTCTGCTGGACTGTCACGGCACTAAGATTCTTTTTTCTTCTACTTCAGCATTCCGAGCCTTTGAGGTTCATTGCTGCACATATCACCCGCCTCCATTCATCTCTATAGTTGGCCTTCTCTTTCTAGCTGGTGACACCAAGTGTTTGCAGGTCTGCCTAGACATTATATTCCCGTCGTCTTCTTGGTCTGCCTTGTGGTCTACGACCACTCATCTCCCTTGTTGTGTATACAGTTTTTACTTCTCTGTCATCTGATTTTTTTTTTTTTTTTTTTCAATATGCCCCAACTTTTTCAGCCTGTTTGCTCTCACGATGGCAGTGATCAATGGGGATTTAAACAGATTATGAATTTCGTTGTTGCCTCTGACTCTCCATTCCCCGCTGTTTGCGTCAATTGTTCCTTGCCACTCTGGCAGATGTACTCCGACTTCGAAGGTAGTCCCGAGTTAGTCGACTCCTACGACATGCTTGTTGGGGAGGCAGTGGGTCTATTCGTGTTTCTCTCCCATAGGGAGGCCCCGAGACCCACACAGGAAACATAAACAATTAATGTTTATCAATTAACGGAGAATACAAGAGCCAATAATAAACCTCTTGATCGGATTCCCTGCAAAATACAAAACATCCTGTGAAAATAAATCATAAGGTCAAAATGTCCAGATTAAGCGTTGAAAACCCAAACGACTTATTTATTTATTGGTAGCTACAATTTTGCGAACCGAAATATCTGCTAGTCAATTTACTAACATGTTACCTTACATTATGCATTAATCAAATATGTTAAAATAAATTCTTATCCCCAAGTTATAGTATGTAACTTGCATGAATATTGGTCTTCTGTGTGGGTTTATGTGTGCTTGTATATACACATACATAGGCCTATATATATATATATATATATATATATATATATATATATATATATATATATATATATATATATATATATATACGCACATACACACACCTATAGAACCGTAATAGGACAAAAGGATGGAGATATCTTGGGGACATTCTGAGACGAAATAAGCGAAGAATCCCAAAACTTGTACTGAAAAGGGAAACAAGCGGTTTAAGAAAAAGATGACGTCTAAGGGGAACATTAAAAGAATAGCATGATTACGAGAGGCTGAAAATGCTGGGTCGAACTTCGTCTCAGAAATCAATACAGTTGCATGAAATATAGCGAAGGGGATGTATCGAATGCAAGTCCTATTTGACGTCCAACAAAGGATGTGGATATTTTATATATATACCCTAGAGCAAGAGGCAGACCGAGAGTACGATGGACAGACAATATATCAGAGATCCTGAAGCAACACGGACTAACAACAACACGTGCAACACACCTGGCCCAGGATAGAAAATTGCGACTCCCCACTACGCTGTGAGGCAATTGTGGACAAGACAAGACAATACAAGACAAGACCTGTCCCCAGAGTGTCGAGCGTCGGCCAGATCACCTTGTAACTCCTCGCAGTGCCATTCTACTCAGACCGTAATGAACAATTTTGTGCCTCGGCACTGTTCACTCTCTCCAAAAGAGCCCTCACAACATCCAGCTTGTTAAACATCAATTCACCTCCAAGTAGTGCAGAACCAGCGAGTCTATCTGCCTTCTTATTTCCAAACACACCGGCATCTTGTCTTGTCTTGTCTTGTCCACAATTGCATCACAGCGTAGTGGTGAGTCTCAGTTTTCTATCCTGGGCCAGGTGTGTTGCACGTGTTGTTGTTAGTCCGTGTTGCCTCAGGATCACTGATATATTGTCTATCCATCGTACTCTCGGTCTGCCTCTTGCTCTAGGGCAGTAGTGCTGTTCGTTGTATGCTCGTGGAGGCAGTTGGTCGGTTTGCATTCGCATCAAGTGGCCAAACCACTCTATTTGTTGCTTCTTTATGTATTGCAGGCATGGTGTGGTTCCTACAATTGCTCTAATGTTCTCGTTTCGAACTCTGTCTCTCCTTGTGACATTGGCAGCCTTACGTAAGCATCTCATTTCGCACGTCGTGATCTTTTTCTCCTGTGCTCTTGTTAGGGACCAGGTTTGGCATTGGTAGCAGAGGGTTGGTATAAACATGCAATTTATCAGTTGTCGTTTTAGTGCCATAGTGATGCTTGGGTGTTTTAGCAGTGGGGAGAGTTGGTAAGTTACTGCGTTCGCCTTTTGACATCTTGCCTCAAGTTCCCTATCAATTCTTCCATCATCTGTGAAGATGCTCCCCAAGTATTTAAATTGCTGCACTTGTTTGAGTTGTTTGTTGTTAACTTGAATAGAACAGTATATTAGGTGTTCTACTTATTTTCAGAATTTCTGTTTTGGTGATGCTGATCTTCATGTTACATTCGTTGCAGAAAATACTAGGACTGCATTCTAAAAGACCTGCTCAAATAACCACTATTTGGATGAGAAACCAAGAGCTAAATGTAAACCAGTTATTTTAGGGCACCGGAAGAATACGAAGTAATCTACAGTTCAAAATGGGTGCTTTATAGATTGAGACACTGCATCAAAGAGAGAGGTGTGAAATTTTATAATCCAGTGATACAAATATCGTCACGTATCATTGATTTATTTAAAGGAAATCTCCATGGCGAAGTGGTAAAGCCGTCGCTCACGGTTTCGCCCTTCAGCTCACGATGGCGATTTTTACGGAAACCCCTGGGGATCGTCACAGGAGCTACAGAGTTCCTGCTCTGTGCGGCGCTCTCGCGCCCGTGTGTCACCGGGGCCCTCACGGGAAGCAAAGAATAGTGACACTGCACCCTACCAGGCATGTCGTAAGAGGCGACTAAGGGTAGGGTTGGGCTTGAGGTTGGCTACCTCATCCTGTAAAAACCATAGCCACAAAAACCAACCAACCATGGATAAGTCAAAAAGAGAAGCAAATAAAATCCAGCCAACCAAGATGAGGGAAGGCTCTTCAAATAGAAGAAGTATGACACGGTGTGAAGAAAGCCGTAAGGAGTCCGGATCGTTGACGTACCTCCTCTCAGCTAGGAAAACCCCCCAGAATTGGCACCTGGAATGTTAGAACTCTCTATGATATAGGGAGAACAATGGAAGTAGCAAAGGAAATGAAACATTATAGAATTAGTATTTTAGGGTTATGTGAAACTAGATTGACTGGGACAGGGAAAATTATTCTTAATTCAGGAGAAACTATTTTGTTCTCAGGACAACAGAGGAAAATTCTCCGCACAGTGAAGGAGTGGCCTTGATGCTTTCAAAAGAAGCAGACAGGGCACTAATAGAATGGGAAGCTGTGAGTCCCAGAATAATAAGAGCATCTTTTAGAACAGTAAAACAGAAGGTGAACATGTCGGTAATACTGTGTTATGCACCAACAAATGATAAAGATGCATCTGTTAAGGAAGAATTTTACATGCAGCTTCAAAATATTATAAATAATGAAAGAAAGGGCAACTTAAAAATTTTGATGGGTGACTTGAATGCTAAGATAGGATCAGTCAACACAGGTTATGAGGAAATTATGGGGAGACATGGTCTAGGAGTAATGAATGAAAATGGAGAATTGTTCACAAATTTTTGTGCAGGTAACCAGTATGTTATCGGTGGAAGTATTTTTCCCCATAAAAGAATACACAAGGCAACATGGGAATCACCAGACTATAAGACAACTAACCAAATTGACCACATATGTATTAACAAAAAGTTTAGATCATCCCTTTACGGTGTTAGGGCTTTCAGAGGTGCCGATGTATTTACTGACCATTTCCTGGTGATAAGTAAAATCTAGTTGAAACTAAAAAGATATATAACATCTTATAATCATAGAAACCAATATAATGTAAGCTTTCTCAGAGATAAAGAAATTAAGGAACAGTTCTCAGTTACGGTCTCTAATAAGTACCAGGTGTTGCAGCAGTTAGCTGAAGATGTCAACACAGAAGTCTGCTGGGATCAGATCAAAGGAATCTGGAATGAAGCTTGCGTAGAAGTTTTTTGGCCAGAAAGAAAGGAAACATAAAGCATGGATAACACCAGAAACCATTAAACTGATTGAAAAAAAGCAAAAGTAAAAAGGCAGAATTAAACAATAGCAAAACTAGAGCTGCTAAAGCTAGAGCTCAGGAGAATTACACAGAAGCCAACAAGGAAGTTAGGAGGCATATAAGGGCAGATCAAGTGAAATATCTAAATGATCTAGCACAAGAAGCGGAGACAGCAGCAGCAAAAGGAAACCTCAGAGAACTTTACAGTAACACAAGAAAATTAGTAGGTAAATATAGTCAGCCAACTGGATCAATCAAAAATAGTCAAGGAAAGGTACTTACTAACACTAAAGATCAAATGGACTGATGGGTTGAATATTTTGAAATGCTTCTAAATACACCAGGCCCAGAGGTTCCCCCAGATATCCAGCCTTTAGAAATGGAACTGGAACTGGATATCAGCTGTGAGATACCATCCAAAGAGGAAATTAGAAACGCTATAAATCTTCTCAAGGAAGGAAAGGTGTCAGGCCCAGATGGTATCCCAGCTGAAGCCATCAGGACCAACATAAACACATCAACAGAATTGCTACATAGATTATTCAGTAAAGTCTGGGAGACCGAAGAAATACCAGCAGACTGGAGAGAAGGATATCTTGTGAAACTGCCCAAAAAAGGTGACCTACAGGAGTGTGAAAACTATAGAGGAATTATGTTGCTGTCAGTTCCTGGAAAAATATTAAGTAGAATTATTTTGGAAAGATTAAAAGATGCTTTTGATAAAATACTAAAATATGAGCAGGCAGGTTTTCGGTCAAACAGATCCTGTACTGATCAGATAGCCACATTACGTATTATAATAGAGCAAAGCATTGAACTGAACTCACCACTTTACATTGGATTTATAGACTATGAAAAAGCATTTGACAGCATTGATAGGGAATCTCTCTGGAAATTGATGGGGCACTATGGAATCCCACAGAAAATTATTAACTTAGTAAGGGCAACATATAAAGACATGAAATGTCGAGTTCTTCATGAGGGAAAGCTAACAGATGCATTTGAAATAAAAACAGGTGTGCGACAGGGTGTCTTTTGTCGCCTCTCTTATTTTTACTGACCATAGACTGGACTATGAAAACAGTAACTGCTAACACCAAGAATGGAATTCAGTGGACCCCTACAAAACAGCTTGATGATCTGGACTTCGCTGATGATATTGCTCTTCTGTCCCATTCACGGAATCAGATACAAGATAAATTAAATATACTTAATGCGAGATCACAGCAGCTTGGTCTGAAAATCCATAAAGGAAAGACAAAGATAATGAGAATAAATCAGGCAAATAGTAATGTGGTTTCTTTTAATGGCACCCCACTCCAAGACGTGGAGTCGTACACCTATTTAGGCAGTAATGTAGATAAAGATGGAGGAACTGATAGAGATATTAAAATAAGAATAAAAAAGGCAAGAGGGGTTTTCATAGCACTAGGGAATTTGTGGAGGTCAAAAGAAATTAAAAGAAATACTAAACTAAAAATTTTTAATTCTAATGTCAAATCAGTACTATTGTATAGGCCGGAAACATGGAGAACAACCAAGGCAATTACTAATAAATTACAGACATTCATTAACTGGTGCCTGCGCAGAATAGAGGGAATAAAATGGTATGATAGAATAACTAATGTAAAACTTTGGGAGAGAACTAAACAGGCTCCAGTGGATCAGGAGGTGAGGAAAAGACGCTGGCGTTGGGTAGGAAACACACTGAGAAAACAGGAGAGCAGCATAACTAGAATGTCTCTGCATTTGAACCCACAGGGGCATAGGAATAAAGGAAGGCCAAAAAACACATGGAGAAGAGATCTGGAGAATGAGGTTAGAAAGATTGGGAGGACATGGGGTGAGCTCCATGCAATGGCGAAGGATAGAACGACTTGGCGTGAGTTGGTTGAGGGCCTATGCTCCATTGGGGGATAGAAAGGCAGAATAAGAAGAAGCGGCGCTCTCGGCGTGCGGCTAAACGTTCTGCGAAGAGAGACTAGACCATGTGGAATAAAACCCGGCACAATGAAGTCGATCCTCTCGACTTTAACCTTTTAACCTTTATTTAAAACTTGTCATCTCACGTGCCGCTACGCGAGTGGGGCTAAATTAGATGGCTGGGAATGAATCACGAGCAGCAGCTACCGCATCTCAGCTTCCTCCATTTTATTTGCTCGAGAGTCCCAGCCATCTGTCAGGGAATATTTTCAACCTCGATAACTTGAGACTGTTGTTCGGAGGATAGCCGGATATTATTTATATGAAAACTACAACAACTACCACTACCATCACCATATTTATCATACTCTGTAATTCACCTTTAGGCATATTTAATTTTTTTTTTTACGGCAGTTACTTCTATTATTCTTCTTCTTCGCATTCACCAGCTGTAAATTCCGGCAGTAGTTCTGGTTGTTCGTGCACTTCTGGACTTCGGACCTATTCCAAAACATGAGTGTTGCGTGTGCATCCGTTTTACAGATCTGAGTCATTTGTATGCAAACTCCTGGTTCCTTGCCTTTTAGGCAGATGCACTCCGACTTCGAAGGAAGCTCCCATTTAGTCGACTCTTACGACATGCTTTTGGGTAAGCAGTGGGTCTATTCTTGTTTTCCCCATAAAGGGCCCCGGAACTCACACAGGGAACTTCTACTATTGTACTACTACTGTTACAGATGCTACTACTACTATATTCGCTGCTGCTGCTGCTGCTACTACCACTACTACCACTATTATACTACTGTTACTACTATTACTACTACTACTACTACTACTACTACTACTACTGTTACTACTACTACTACTACCACTACTACTACTACTACCACCACCACCACCAATACTACTACTACTACCTTTACTACGATTATTATTTTTACTACTACTAACGGATCCTGCTGCTGCTACTAATACTACCACTGCTACTACTACTATCACTGCTACTACCACTGCTACTACTACTACCACTACTATACTACTGCTACTACTACTGCCAATACGACTACTACTTCTTTTACTACAACTGTTATTATTATTAGTACTACTGCAGTTAGTACTTCAATACACTTTTTGGTCACATATTCTAATTTACGCTGCACACACTGTAAAAATCTGGACAAGAGCAGCCATATTGAAGCAAAAGAAAAAAAAAACGTCACGGAGCCAGGCGTAAGGCGGACGACTTCACAGCTTCTGTAAATTGTATTAGAAGTGTGGATTTTTAAATTTGAACACAGCTTTTAACAGTTATATGCAATGGGCAGATCGAGAAGCAGGAGTAGGTCGTCAAGTCGCCATGGACATCGATCAAAGCGCAAAAAGAATCATTCGAAATCGCGTTCAAAATCAAAAGAAAGATCGTCAAGACAAGGCCGGAGTAGTCGAATGAGATCGCGGTCTAGGGATAGAAAGCGACCAACAGCAAGGTTCGTGAGGTAGAAACAATTACCTTACATTACCTGCCACGTTGATTTGATATTACTTAATGTTGTAAAGAATACCTTTGTAAGAGAGATCTTTGTTTTATTTTTTTTTATCAAGTGCCTTGCCGACGCGTCGTTTGCAAAACTAGTGCGTAACAGTAACAGTAATGAGTAACTGTTTTATAAATTATTACCAGTCTACTCTCACTTACACTGAATCACTCACTAATTCTCAACATGTCCTAACAGTAATTGTGCCTGTGTCGGATATATATGAGATTCTGACGTGGATACGTTTTCTGAATATTAAAACTGAACTCTTTCTGCTCCGGGAAGTTACCTGTGTATGATCATCATATCACATTGGATATTTTTCTTGTATTATTATTAACATTAAAAAAAAATTAGGAGTTTTTGTAGATTTTACATGATGTGAACATTAGTAGTACTAGTAATGGGATCATAAAAGCTAACAACTAAAGTATTAAAGCACATCAAGTATTTTTATTTTTTTTTAGAGAAGATATTCTTGCTATACTCCGAACAACGGCAGCCAAATAAACAGCCTCAATCACATGTAAACTGTGGACTTTTTTTCCAGCAAATATATTATATACCGCAGCAAAAGTATGATAAATTTCCAGGGATGATTTCGCAAACCGCCAAGTTAAACTCGCCGCAAAGAGTTTCCCTTGCGGCGCGGAGTGGGTCTAAACTAGATAGCTGGGACTCATGAGCAGCAGCTACTGCATCATGCAGCTTCCTCATTTTATTTGCTCGTGAGTCCCAGCCATCTAGTTAAGCCGCTCATAGCGGTGCGGGGATACTCTCGCAGTGAAAATTGCGTTACCAATGCGGCACTAGCTGCAGCTTGTTCTGATATCATATTTAGCCGAGTTTCAATGGCACCACAAAGAGCAGATTTTCGGGCACTGTTTGCAACTTCTCTGCCACAATGTTCAGATATAAAGGCCTCAATTATCGCTAAGTGGTCGATTTCATCATTTCCCCTTTTTTCATTCCTCATAATTTTGGAGTTCAAGTTTTTTTGAATGTTTACAACACATGAACTAATGAGGCCCTGTCCGGGTGTGTTTTTGGCCGCCATAATATGTGGCCAATATTCAGAGGATAGCCGATATTCTGTATAGTTTTTAGTAGTATGAAAATAGTACACCGATACTGTTATTGTTATTGCTGGCTCTCTTAGAGAGAGTCTTAGACAAGCTGGCTGTAGCTTTTTCTGACAAGAGTTGATTAAAGTAATACTAATAGTTTGACCACAGCAGCAGCCATTTCAACCTAGTCTGAACAATTTCTAATTCTAGTCTGGCTGTTGTGAATCTATATTATAAAATATACATGATCCCCGTGTGGGTTTAGGGACCCTGTTATAGGGAAAACAATAATAGACCCACTGCCTACCCAAAAGCATGTCGTAAGAGTTGACTAATTGGGAGCTTCCTTTAAAGTCGAATTGCATCTGCCTGAGAGGCATGGAACCAACAGTCTGCATACAAATTAGTCAAATCTGTCAAACGGATGCACACACAACACTCGAGTTCTGGAATAGGAGTGCAGTTCAAAAGTGGATGAACAACCAGAACTTGTCGCCAGAGTTTACAGCTGGTGAACGCGAAGAAGAGAAAATATACATGAAACGCCTTCACAGAATGACATTAGTTATATAGTCACTGCCAGCCAGCGTGCAGCACTGGATCGCAAATTCTCCCCCCCCCCCCTTTTCCCCACTCGACAGAAGTGGCTTATTATGACTGAAGATAATGATAAAATACAAAGCACATATATAACCTCACGTTTGGCTTGTTATCCAAGACTTATATACAATTGTATTACCTGTAAAAAAGTCCTGTGTTTCTTATTTTGTAACATGTTTTCCACACCTGACTTCTTGGACACAGTTTAAGTGTTGTGTAAATTCCAGTGAGAAAACAAGAATAAAGTGCCATAATATATATATAACCTGTTATATGCATGTGAGATGGGGGAGGGGGCAGTAAGATAACCACGCTGTGAAACATTTTACTCATGGTGATGTGTATTTTTAGAAGAATGCAGCACATGTCATGAAATTATAAAAATAAAAACAGGCGGTTTTTGCCAGGACATAAAAACCATAAACTGATTAGAGAAGTTAGACATAGACAGTTGGTGGTTTTAATAAAGGGCATGAACTCTATCTCTGGCGACGATCCCCAGGAATCTACGTAAAAATTGAACCCGTGAACTGAACGGGGCCGACCTGAAACAAACCCGGGAGGCAGATGGCTCGACCATTTTGCTATGGAGATACCAAGATATGGTAATGGAAGGAATGGACTTGAGAACTTACAAAATTTATGGGAAAGAGAGAAATTAAACAGGTAATTTAAAACCTAGGTGGCTTGGCCATATATGGATCTGACCAGAAATTCTCATCATGTGAGATTACGAAGCATGACATGATGGTCTGCTCCACACTATGATTTTGATTTTCGCATAAATTTCATCATAAATGTTGTTTGAGCTGTTGGTAAGATAAAACAGCATAGAAGAAGAGCAACACAGTAAAGCTAAGATACCACCATAACAGATACCTAAAAGATCCATTCATTCATTCAGTAGCATGTCCCTCGCAGAACCTCGCTGCCATAACAACCCTCCGGAAAACCTTCCTATCCTGAGCAAGATGTCCTGCGTCTGATACACCCATCTGGAGATCATCTGCCACATCCTGCACCCATCTTCTCCTTGGCCTTCCTCTTCCTCTCTTCCCAGGCATATACCCCTCCATTATTGTTCTCTCTAGACTTCCATGACGTTTCAAGTGAAAAGATCCCTTGGCAGTTGGAAATCTCAAAGATTAGCCTAACAGCGCTGCTCGGGCAAAATTTTGGGTTTAAAATGTTTCCAAGGTATTTCAGAATCCTCGTTCGTGCACTGCGCTTAGTCCCGGCAATTTTCTCTATTGTGTGTGCTATCTGGATAAGTAGAAATCCTGATAAGTCGACGCATTTTCTTAGGTCCCTGCGACTTTTACTTATCTAGGCTCCACTGTATTAGGATCTAATGAAGCACTAAAATGAATCCTTTTCCACTAAAATACACATACCACAATGTTTCTAGTTACATTGTACTACTGGACATTCAAGATTTGTTTCGTTATTACCACAGCAAATAAAAATTTACCACATGCACATTCTGTTTGCACATCCCGGTATTGTACATTTTAATTGTAATATTTTTGTTCAAAAAGGTTGTTTGATTTTAGCAAATAGCTGTAATTCAGATTGTGTATGTTAACTGCATTCACAGGAGGCGATCATTTTCCTCAAGCAGTTCAGACAGCGATGATGATCTTATTTTGCGTGCGAAAAAGAGAGAGGAGGAAGAGAAGAAAGCAGAGATAGAACGACAGCGTCTTCTGTAAGCATTTTGAGAGCATATTTTCATGTTATAAGAAGTTTTTTTAAAACATGGTTATATTGATCTTTTATCCCACTTTACGCTCGCCCTGGATCGGAAGGTCGTGTGTTCGCTTAATGGCAGACACTGATTTTTTTTCTAAAAAATTACCTTGGCTCCCAGGTCGACCCAGCCTTGAGTGGGTACCCGGTGCAGTCCCAGGAAGTAAATGCAGCCAGCGCGATGCTGACCACATCACCCATCGTGTGCCGGTTGGTCTAGCCTTATATGCCCTATACGACTATAGGCCTTGAAAAGCATCCTTTACTTTTTTTTTATATCCCACTTTGATGAGATAGCTGGAGGAAGAACATATCATCATCAGTTCTCGTTATGCCTAGTGGCACATGAGGCTTCAGAGAGGACTTTTCATGCTTTCCTGTCCTGTGCAATCTTCAGTGCAGTTTTCCATGTCAAAGATGCCGCACTCAAGTCACTTTCCATCGTTCGTCTCCATGTTGTTTTTGGGTGCCCCTGTTTTCTCTTTCCCTCTGGTGTCCATGTGAGAGCTGTTTTGGCAGGTATATCAGAAGTCATTCTCATAACGTGGCCAAGCCATTTCCATCTTCTCTTGGTAATCATACTGTCTAAAGTTTCTTGGTTTGTGGCTTGAAGTAGTTTAGTGTTTGAGATTTTATCTGGCCAGAAAATAAAGATCATAACAACATTATAAAATAAGGCCTTTTTTTTTTTTTTTTTTTTCTCTCTGTCTGTACATTATATAATTCTTAAACTTATGGCTACCACCACACCCCAAGATAGCCAAGATAGAAGAGAAGCGATTAAGTAATTTAGTTAAACTTTAAACTTCTTTTCTCACACAGTATGTTTGAATGAATGCATCAATTCTTGATCTGTTCACTCGGGGCATTCCTACACGAGCTCCGTCTGTTTCCTCAGTAGCCAACAGTGAGTCGATGTGAAAAGTACCTGTTGCAACCTGATTAAAAGCCTGCCTATGTTTGCCTTGTATTGTTGAAAATTTTCCAGATCCCTTCCTAACCCCCAGCTGAATTAGTTAGTCTGTCATCGTGTTAATACTTGGTCTGCTCTGTTGCACTGTCCACTTGATTCCAAGTAGACTTCACCACCTTCATGTTATCCTAACGTACCTCACTATCTAGAGGTGTAGCGGCAGCCAATCTCTCAGCCTGCTCATTACCCTGCCCACCGGAATATTCTGGGCAGAAAATCCACCGATGCAAGCCCCTGCACCTGCAGGATGCCAGTTTGTATTTTCTCACAAACTGACAGAAGAAGCATGGATTAAATTTTTTAATGATTGGATCACATTTGCACTGTCACAAATTTAGGCTGTTGGTAATTAATATTTTTTCTTAATGTAGAATTTTATGTTTTATGTATAAATTGTGATCTGATTGAGGTGGATGCAGATACTGATGTTCTTGTTTGAATTTACCACAGGAAGCAGAAGGAGCTTGAAGAAAAGCTGATAGAAGAGGAGGTTGCCAGGCGGGTGGAAGCCTTGGTCAAGCAGCGGGTGGAAGAGGAGCTAGAAAAGCGGAGGGATGAGATCGAAGCCGAGGTCCTGCGGCGAGTGGAAGAGGCCAAGAGGATCATGGAGAAACAGATGTTGGAGGAGTTAGAAAAGCAGCGAGAAGCTGAGCTAGAGGCACAGCGGTTGAAGGAGGTACGATTAGTGTTGTCCAGAATGTTTGGATCAGATCTGCTGGCAGGCTGGGTAGTAGGTGTGGGTTCAATGCCCTCGTGCATTATTGTCAGTTTTTGTGGTCAAATTCATCTCCAGAAGGCGGTTTATGTAGTGTAAATAACAGCGTACACATTTACATAAACGTATCCAGATTTTATCTGCAATTTAACATTGTTTCCAGTATGAACATTTTCAGAATTTGTTGTTTAATGACATAAGAAGAAAAGTGTAGAGCCGAACACTGTCACAATTTTTGTTTATATTGCTAATCATCTCTTGTTTCTTAGAATTGAAATAAAAAGACTAAATTTGAAGAGAAAAAAAAACAGCACTGTCTTCAGTGGGGCTGAATTTTTAAGTGAAAATGTGGTATAACGTAAAGTCTGCCAGAGATGTGATCCTACAGCTCTTCTTCATTCTGCTTTCATTAACATTGTCTCACCAGCGCTGCAGTCTCCAGTTATTCTGCCCCGTTTTATTTAATGTTTCTGCCGAGTAGAGACTAGGATTTCTAGGTAGTTACTTTAATTTTTCTCTCTTATTTTCTGAGTCTAGGAGTGTACGTGTTTAGGATGTACATAAGTTCTTGAAAGGGTTAGATCAGCATGTATGTGCCACAGGCTGTTCATTCTTCATTAGACGCTGCTGGATGTAGGTAGTTGAGCATGAGTGAAGCCAGTCTTTGGGTGAGTGTGTGTACGTGAAAAATGGGATCATGCAGGTGATTGGGCAGAGTGGTAACTGTAGGGTTAATTATAGCCTTGAAGAGAAAATGTCCTCTCCCCGAGGTACCTACATTACATAGCTTAAGCCTAAATATTATGGGTTAGATACATGATTTTAAAAAAAAAAGATCCCAAGGAAGGTGTAATAAATCAACATTATAGTCTTGTCCACACCTTGGGGCATAAGGTGCTTGCCGTGTGTATTTTATAGGTCAGTCAACACTTGATGATGGCTAATGTCAATATCATGCTGCCCCTTTTTACTTCCCAGAGAAATTCCTGGTGCCCATTTGTAGGCTGGGTTGACCTGGGATCACCCAGTGAATTTTAATAATCTGCCTTGATGCGTATTGCAATCTAAAACCTGTGAGCATGCGTGGCAAACTTGGTGCCGCGACTGCAGCTCCTCGACAACGGTGTGGGTTATGTAAATGTCCCAGTTCTGTATGCAAATTACCCTCTGTAAGTTGGGGTAGTTTTGTCATCGGCTGTTAACTGTCATAGCTCTGAGGTGGAAGTGTGTTAAATTTCTTGCCAAGTTTACAGCCAGGCCTGGAATGGAATCTTTACTCAAGGTACGCCAAATTTTCGGTATGTAGATTATGTCTACTGCAGTTTTTTCTTTTTTTTTTCTTTTAATGCTAAGATACATTTGAAGTCTCTGTTACTCACCGTAAATACTGAAAAGTAGTTTGCTGTAGTCACATTTCATTTGTTGTTTGTCATCCATCAGACTTGCTCATTATGTCTTTTCTATCGTTGTTGTTGCTTTAAAGATTTGATTCTGTTAGTTATTATCAAGTGAGAAGCTTCTGACGTCTTGCAGTTACAGTGAAATTGCTGGATGGGAAATGGACGACAGTAAGAATGATCACATTTTGCATTCATCACCAAGAAACAGATATACACATTAAATCTAACAACACACAAATAAAAAGGGTAACATGCATCCAGTTATAATCTGATTTCTGTCTTTCATTGTTCAACGGACATGCTGGATATGTATGAGCAAGCAGTAGTTTAGATAACAGGCCACTTATCTTGGATGTGGCAAACTGTCTGTGCACACATCAGTCATTTGTGTGAGGGTGACTGTGTGTGTGCACCCTTGCAGATTACTTACTTATTTTCTTACTCTCTGTACCATGTTGTGTTGGTAATCACATCTTTCCACAGCCTTGTGTCTACTGTACTGTAAATTATTTGCGATGCGGATGTTCTTTCAGGTGCTGATGTACAATTGTTCCTACCGTCTCCCTTCTGCAACTTTTCCTAAACTTGTTCATTTTTTTTGCAGCATGCCCCAAACATTTATATTGTCTTTTTTTTGGACATATGTAATCAGTCTGTCTTGGGATAATTTCTGGCCCGACATTTGTATTACAAATTTGATGTCTAGTGTTTTTGTCATTCTGTAAAATCTATTTTCTGCTTTGGCTTCCACTTACACACACAGACAGTTGCCAGACTCAAGTCCAGTTTCGCCAGGTCAGCATGGCTGAACTTATTCCCCGTGTGGGTCCCAGTGCCCCAGACGTAATCCCTGTGTGGGTCTCAGTGCCCCATTATGAGGGAAAACTAGAATAGACCCACTGCCTCCATAACTAGCTTGTCGTAAAAATCAACTTATTAGATGTTTCCTTGAAAGTCAGAGTGCATCTGCATAAGAGACAAGGAACCTACAGTCTACACACATACCAATAAGCCACTGTAAAACAGACTAAAGTTCAGAAGCGGATGAACATCCAGAACTTTCCACTGGAGTTTACATCACAAAGCAGAAGAAGTCCACCTTCTCCAGGTTTACATGTTCTCCTTAACAAATCTATGTATTGATTTTATAGTTTCTCATCTTTACCTTCTTTCGATGCTTACCAAGATGTACAATGCATTCAGTCAGTTATTATTGTCTTGTCCTCATGTTAGGCGTTGGTAATCCTGTTTGTGTTTAGAACTCAATATACACAAATGTGCTGGTGTCTGCCTGTGTGGGCCAATGATATTAGAGGTGTTATTATCAGTCTAACCTAGGCCAAGAAGAGATTGGTCCCTTGCAATAGAGAAACTGTGTCATGGGTACAAGCATCATAAATACTGAAGGAAATTCTGACCCAGAAATCGGGACTAGTTTGGTGGTGCGTAGATGCTTCAGGGTTGTGCTAAAACCAGGGTGTTTGGTTTTTCTAGGGAAAAAGGTGCAGATACTCACCTCAAAGAAAAGGGTGCCAGTACTGCACACCACTTTCAACCACCAGAAAGAAAAAGCCTTGGCTAATACTGTCGGACTCTTTCAGCAGCTGACGTAATGATTATTATAAAATACATTCTGAAATAAGCAAATCCAAGTGATTTATTTTTCTTCTTCCCTTTTTTTCTCTTTTATTTTAATTTCAAAGAAGGATCTGTATTAACAGTTTTGGTCAGAATATTTAAAGAAAGAAGGTGGATGGTTAATCTAGAAACAGAAAGATGGGAGTATTGTGTTTTCAGTTCTGAAATATAATGAAAGTAATTTAACGCAGCTGCACATTTGACATTTTTCTGTCCTTTAATGTTTGACTCCTTTCTTGAGGGTCTACCCCAGCACTACTTTGTGCTGCTGCTGATCAACCGTGTGTAGTTAAGAATACAGTAAGGGAATGTAATGCAAAACTAAGCAGTTCATAGGGTCAGGGTAACATGAACACACTAATAAAGAATTGAATTTGTTTCAGATTATACCACAATGACTATAATAAAGCATACTAGCAGCATATAAACATCATTTTCAAAAAGTGAATACAAACAATTTATAGAGATGGGGAAAACAGATATTTAATGATTCTTCAAGTTTACATAACTCTGTAATGCTTTCATGTAATTGTTTTAATTTTTTTAAAGCCTTTTTTTTTTTTTTTTGCTGATACAGACTTGCCATAAGCTGACTACCTGTACTTCTTGTTTATAATTTCTCATGATTTAAACTGTTGTAACTATGGTAGTGGTCTGTAGTTACGGCTGCATTGCTGACTGGTACTGTCACAAGATATCTTTTTACGCAAGCTCTTAATCTGTAACAATTCTTCTGTATATCCTTGTCTTTTATCTACCAGCTGAGCACAGGTTTCATCCAGCTAAAACTGTTACCCTCCTGTCTGCTCTTTGTTTTCTAAATCTATAATATGGCTAAGACATCAAGGGAAATTGTAGTTTTGCCTGTCATAAATTGGGCAGTGCTTTTTGTACTGCTTTGTATAGGTAAAATGGGACAAATATGAAATAGGTAGCTTTTGTTTTAAGTATTTGTTTCCCCAGCTTCAGCATCCATTCTCAGCAGAAAAAAAATGTTTTTCATTTTGTGGGCTGATTTTTGCAGAGAAGTTTGCTTTTTTTTTAAAACCCAGTTATACTATTTACTTGCTTGCTAAAATACACATTATAGTAAATACAGTGTCATGTGTGTGTTAAAACCGGAATGTCTCTGATGCATGCCGTGACAGTATTTCTAGCTGCTTGTTATCAATATTTTCAGGAAGAGGAGCGCAAGAAGCGTGAGGAGTTGGAGCAAATCATGGTAGAAAACAACAAAAAGATTGAAGAGGCTCAACGCAAACTGGTGAGTTTGTTGGCAGCAAAATTAGTGTTGTGTATGTGTAAGTTGTCAACTTGCGTTTTGACATCTTGAACATAATGTTTCAAGTTTCTTTCAGTTTGCACCATCACTGGCTAATGATGGTCTGTAGTTTAAGCCAGTTTTCTTCGACATTTTTTAGACCCATGGACCAGTGAAGCAAAATAATATTCTCGGCCTGACCTATCCATGATTGTCCTCTTTTTAAGCTGCTGCCTTTTATTTTTCTTTCTCAATTCACTGTGCAGCGGGTGTTGCATATCTGAGTTGACTCTAAGGTTGGCACCTGCTGGGAAAAGGTGAATTTTATCCTTCATGGTTGGAAGATCAAGAAGGTAGCGCATCACCTGCATGCTCTCTCTCTTGAACTTAGCCATCGGTAGCAAAATTGATGACAGCCATGAGGAGCAAAATTGATGATTTAGCCATGGGGAGCAATATTGATGTTGTATGAGATTATTTTGACCTAACGAGGGTATAACAGGAAGTTTTCCAAACAAAATCTGACAAGAGAGAATGCATTCTGCAGCCAGTTTTATTTGAATAAGTAGAACTATTCAGCGGTCAACTTTTAAAATGCTTGTGTGTAAATGTCATTAATTTCTTTTTCCCCTTAAAGAAATAAGCCATCTTTATCTGTTGCTAATTTTCTGCACTGGAGCCTCAACTGTGTATGTATATAAGAATCTTTGATTAATGCCAGGTCAAAGTCTCTTTTTTTTAATAAAGCTGTTTCTAATTAACCCTTCACCTCATCATTAAAAAAAAACTTTAGAAAATGACCTCTTTGAAAATTGAAGAGAAAAATGCATCCTTATAATTCTCAGAGGAAGAAAAGAACTTAGCATGGAGAGTAAACTGGTGTCATGTGAGATTACTTTGAGTTACGAGGATGTCACAATTCTACGGAATGTAGCATGGAGAGTAAACTGGTGTCATGTGAGATTACTTTGAGTTACAAAAATGTCACAATTCTACGGAATGCAGTTTTTTCTCCAAACCCCCAGTAATATCTGAAACTTTTGTGGGTTTGAGGGTATATAATCATACCCACCATGTCTACATGCTATGCAGTTAAAGCCTTTGCTATAGCAGTTAAATAGCCAGAGTGGTCACTGCTTAGACTTCACATCATAAAAAAACCTGTAAATGATAGGTAAATTTTTTTCAGTACGATAGGATTAAAATAAATACCCGCAGTTGTTTATTTTGTAACTTCTTCATAGGCTAGTCTGTTCTTTATTAGTTTTGTTTTCTTCTTGACTAAACTAGCAGAATAATGAGTTAGCTTTCCTTTGTTTGAAACAAACATGAATATAGTTTTCTAATGTTTCCCATTTGGTCTATGCTTTTGTTCACATTCATTTACTAGTTATTCTCCATCCCCCCTCTGTCTGTCCAGGCGGAAGAGCAACTGAAGCTGGTGGAGGAGCAACGGAAGATCCTTGAGGAGAAGCAACGGATGGAAGAAGAGGAAAAAAGACGCTCCAAGAAAGCCCAGGAGATTATTTTGAACAAGAAGAATGCTCGGCCATCGATTTCCTTTTCACTTGGTTCTAAATAGCAGCATCTGCGTGTTCTTTCATCCAGCTGGCATCGCTCGCATTGTGTGCCCCAGTACTTCCTGCCCTGTTCGGTGATTGGAGTCAAGTAGCTACAGCATTCGTTATCTGAGAGTCATCTTGTTTGGCTGCGTGAGGAAATATCACTGGATAGCTCATCACTTCTAAGCTGGTTGGGGAATCAGCGTTCTGTGCTTAGGTTACATGGACAAGGTTCAAGCCCTTGCCGATAACTGCTACTGTTTGACTTGTGTATGGTGTTTTGTTTTGACTTGTTTTACAGTGTGTAAGCTGTGTTCATTGTCCAGGGAAAGTTCATATGTTTCTTGGGTAATATTTTTATTTAGTGTGTGTGTGAGGTTAAGGTCATCAGTTACACTGCCTCTAGATTTTACTTAGTGGAGTTCACGAGGATACCACGCAGACCCTTAAGGCGATCTCAAGTGTGGCAAATTTTCCTTGTGAAGAATTTGTTTCCCCCCAGCGATTTTTCAGGTTTCAATTCTCATCTGTTTTAGAGGAATTTCTGATATGAAGAAGGATTTCTCGGGTACCTGGTGAGTTCTCTTTAAGAGGTTTGCACTGTATAAAGCTGAACAGATTTTTAAAAATTTGTTTTGTTGGTGGAGAGAGAAATATATGTTGTTGATGTTGGATTTGTAAAGAGTATTGACATTTTTACCTTTGTTGCCCTGTGCATGTTCAGCTGAATTTGTACATGATCTCGTGGATTTTCTTGCAAAGAAAAAGCTTGTTGAGTACAGTCATATAGGAGATGTGACTATAAAATTAAGGCAGATTCATTCCTCCTTATATAGTTATAGTGGTTAAAAGGGAATCCTTACTGAAAAGGGAGCGTATTTATTCTTTTGAAGCACAGGATTGGCAGAGGCATGAATTCTTTTATGCTCGCCCTTTAAGAAATTTACTTTGATTATTCTCTACACAGTTTCCATGCAGTGTGTTTTCTACCTCTAATTGCAGTCAGTCATCGGTCCCTAGGGACCGTAGAGCTGGTTTTGCCAACAGCGTCTTCTATGACTGAAACACCCTCTATGGGAGTAGCAGTGTCTGCCACATAGACTAGATATTGTCTGTCTCTAATTCCCTTTTTTTTAAAAATGAACCTTTCAAACCAGATAGAACTTAAAGCTAAGCAGAATTGACTTCAATGCTCTGGGTTGTAACAGATTTAGCTTGGTCTCTTTCCTCTAACAAAGATGTGGCCAGTTGAACTTCTGTCTCGCAAGTCATGCACATCTACTATTAGTGGACAGACTCTAGAGTGTAGAGAGTTTGTATGAGAGATTGTTCTAATGAAACAAGTAACAGTGTAATGGACCCTTTTCACACCACCAACACGTTTGGCTTATTGTTGATAAGCCAATATTTTTTTATAGACCAAAGGCACTTGAATGGTGGTGTGAAAGATACCACAGTGATAGTCTTTACTTCGTCTTAGTACCAATTTTTAGACTGGCTCAGCCTGGGAACTCTGGGTCAGTTGTTTAAAAAAGAAAAAGAAAAACTGATGTGAATTTGAAATTACTAACTTCTGTCGGAAAGTTCTAGTTCATCATCCACTTGTGGGTTTTGGTTCATTTTCTAGAGCTCTCTGTGCACATTCATTCTACAGACCTGGCTCATTTGTACGCAGACTGCTGGTTCCTAGCCTCTCAGGCAGATGCATTCCGACTTTAAAGGAAACACCCTATTTAGTTGCCTTTTACCAGATGCTTGGGGGGTTGTCCCTTCTTTTTCCTTCCAAAATGGGGCACTGTAACCCATGCAGATGTTAGTTGTTGTTTGTTGCAGTCCTGCTTTAATATTTCTGACATTCAGCAGAAGGTAAGGCATTATAGAAATTGTTAACAAGGAGCACGTTGTTAATTTTCTCCCTTGTTATTTGGGAGTATGCCACTGTGTGTGTGTGTGTGTGTGAAACCCGCAATTGAACAGTTTATGATAATCAGGTTTGTAAGAAGGTAATGAGAAAGGAGGGCACCGTTGACACAGGTAAGTATATTATAGTTAATAATTTGTAATATTGTTTGCAGTTGTATGTTTCACTGTTGTCACCTGCTTCCATTTGCCATTCTTTTACCTGATTTTTTCAAGATCCTGCTTTCCTCCATAGCACATGTGTATTTCACTGTTGGAAACTTTTATGTCCTTTCTATGTTCTATTAATTATCTAATGTCTTTCCTTTGTGTTCCCTGTGTGATGTCTTAGGATATCTATGTGTGTTACTTCAGTTATTATATGTATTTTTAGTATGCTTGCATTGTTACTGAATATGTCTTTGAGTTATGAATTATAGATTTGTAAGTTGGTAGATTTGTGTGTGTGTAGGTCGCACATAAGGTTTTATGATAGAGCAGTGACACAATTGGTTGGTTGTTTGATGGTTTGGGATCCGTTCCTAGTTGAGGCAATCTACAACTGATTCAGAATATCAAGTGTTTTGTGTCTGAACCGGCCCGTGCTACATTTGAGTGACAGATGGATCATACTTTTGTGCACATATGCATTGGCACATACCTCTTTAAGGGCCCCAATGCTAAGTTTTGTTGAGATAAGAACACCACTATGGCACATAAATACCTTCATTAAGTTGCTTAGCCTCCTCCTCCTCATCCTGTAGATAACACTAAGAGGTTGTCAGCACAGCGCACACAAGTCCTAGCTTCAGTGAGGATCCAAATACATGCAATTCAAAACCCACAGATGCTATAACAGTGTCTCTTTCAAGACAGGAGTACAGTAGATTAGTCAGTAGAAACACAAGTTCAAGACTGAGCAAGCCTACAATTTGTGCTCAGTAATTTCTTTAGTAAAAGGTCATGTCTTCTGTTTTCACCCTCAAAAGGGCAGAGGTCACGTTCTTTTGTGCTTTACAGCTAAGCTGCGGTATCTACACCTTTTGGCACAACACTTCCAGTTTCAGCAAGTTCCTAATTTGTCACTTGTTAGGACCAGCTTCTTCGGGAGCAGTGGGTCTAAAGCTCCCCACCTCCAGGTGGGTCCTGGAACCCACTAGGGGAGGAAATATTACAAGTAAGATTTAGGAGCTGTACCCTGTAATTAGTCGGAGTCTGTGGCTTAGGCGTTGCGAGCGCGCTTTGGTGCCGGGTTCGATCCCCGCTACGGACAATTGTCTTGCGTTGGTTTCGACAGCGGTACCAAGAGCTGACCATCAGAAAGCATTGGCAAACTGCTGAATGTAAAATTGCCTAGAAAAACCACAAACCCAAAAAATGCTGGGGTTGGTTCTGCAACGTCCTGTAAAGGATACACAACTAAATTTATACTGTAATTAAAAGGGTGTTGTTCTGTCAGATGCTGAAACTTTGGCATTACCCAGGTTTTGAGGAACTGAACAAATCCTAAGGATGTTTCCATAGCATTCTTCTTTTTCTTCTTCTCCTCGTTCACCAGCTGTTTACTCCAGCATTAAGTTCTGTTTGTTCATCCACTTCTGGACTTCTGTCTTGTTCCAGACCCTGAGTTTGGTGCACATCTATTTTACAGGAATTGTTCTGTCCGATGCTGAAACTTTGGTGTTACCCAGGTGTTGAGGAACAGGACAGATCCTCAGAATGTTTCCATAACATTGGACTTCTTGTTTGCTTTCATTTGTCTGTAAACTCTGGCGGAAAGTTCTGGTTGTTCTTCCATTTCTGGACTTCAGTCTTAACTCCAGACCCTGAGCTTTTGCCTGCATAAAAAAACAAACAGATTTGGCTTATTTCTGTGCAGACTGTTGGTTACTCATTTCTCAGGCAGATGCAGACTTTGTGCCGTGGAGAGGAAGAACTTAATTCCTAATGTGAGTAGGTCTTGCTAGTCATACTCACTCTCGCCATAGGCTGTGATTCCAACGCCATTCTGTAGCACAGTCTAACACTATCATCTGCACAGATAGAAAGGTGGCACCACAATCATAGTGCAGGATTCTAAAATATCAAAAAGAAGCTGATTTACACTGGGTGATTGCGAATTATGGGTTGCCTTTACTGACAGTTGTGTTTTGTTTTTAAGTGTACTTGCATATGTGACATAATACCATTGTTATTGTAGAATATAATGATTCTTGTAAAAAACAAAATGTGTGCTTGTTTTCTTTCTGATTTGTAAGTTGTTTGTTTCTGCTGATGATTTAGAGATGAGTGTGAAGTAATGGATTGTTGGGAGCCATTTTCTTCTTCTGGTGGTTTATGAGGTGGTTATGAAATAATTTATTGTAGTGCGGATGATTTAGAGATGGTTGTGAAATAATTGATTGTTGTGTGCTGTTGTGCTGATGATAAAGGACATACACACTCACACACATTTATGTGTGTGTGCGTGTATATATATATATATATTTATGTGTGTATATACGCACACACATACATATATACACCCACAAATATATATGTACATATGTGTTTATGTGTGTATACGATGAAAATTATTGTACCGATTCATCTACTCTGATGTTCACTCTGTACAGCAGTGGAGAAACGCTCAGAGACAGGTTTACAACATATTCCTCAACTGCAAAGGCATTGCCTCCAGGATGTCACGTGTTTGATCAAACTTTTCAGAACAGACTGCATGATGTTGGACTCTAAGCATGACAACCATTCCGAGGACTGGTCCTTACCCATCGCTACCGCTAAAATCGAATTCTTTAGGTCAACCATCATCATCCTTGGGCAGGTAACAATCAGTGGAGACGTGTCTGGTTCAGTGACGAATCTTTCTTTTTGTTGCAGCAACATGATAAACGGCAAAGGGTCTGTCGTGGGCAAAATGGTTTAGCCCACAATTGTGTTGATAAACCTCTGATGCAGTGGGGAGGTGTAATGATGTGGGGAATGATCAATTACAGCAGAATTGGTGCACACTGAAAGAAGTTTGAATGTGCAACAATACATAATGAAATTCTTGGCCCACATTTCCTTCCATTTTGGGATGCCAACAGATATCTTATTATGGTAGCAGGGAAGCCGCGTT